CAGAATCAAAACAAGATTATTTTTACTCTCTTAAGTAAGAAAAATACTGAATTCCATTTCCTGTCTGTTCCTTTGCTCCATCTGCTCCCTCTAAGCAGGACGCAACTTTCTCCAGAAACTTTCTTAAAAATGGAAGCGTGGAGATGTTCTAAAGTTGTCGAAAGCAGCTGGATGGAGAAGGCCTCCTAATCAGGGGGGACACCACAGCCCCCTTCCTCCTGACCCCATGGAAATAACACCCTTTCTCCCCTCTTTTCATGAAGTACTGTATTGCACACAGACCCCACCAGGGGGCCCCCTCTGCAAAGAGAGGAGAGCACCGTGCGCCTCAGTATTGGGCCACTGGAGGGCGACGGCCACAGGTGGCTTTCCAGTGGAGGGTGGGAAAAGGAGTGACATCACTACCTCTTGCCTCTCTAGGAAGCTGCCCGCTCTGTCTTTAACCCTTTGAGCTTCACAAGAGGTAAAAGGCTGCAGGAAAGTCTTGCAGGGAAGGAATCCAGAGGAGGCCCTGGGTGAGCAGGGCCCTCTTCCCGTGCAAAGGGAGGCAGAGGGTTCAATCTTCTGGGTCCTGGGGATGGGAGAGCCTGAATCCCATGTTCCCCAACAACCCCTTTCGATGCACGTAACAGGAAGCAGAGCTCTTGATCAGCTGTGCTACCCCCAGGAAAAAATCCAGAATCCCCAGGAAAGAGGGTGGGATCTGGGGGAGCTCTTCACGCCCCATTTCCTGGGAAAAACCTCGGAGAGGGGGAGAGTTTGCATTGCAAATCTCCAGCCGGAAAGAAGAAACGCCTTGCAAGGAAGGAGGTGCCCAAGATTGTCCCTGCATTCTCACCATGCGCTGATGAGGCTGAAATTGGGCTGGATCCTCTGCAGTTCAACGCGTCTTAGGAGGGTGATTGAACCAGGAGATCCTCTTCAGCTTCGTTCCTTCAAGCCCTGTGCTTTGTGTGAACTCGGCCCCTGTGCTTGGGGGATCTGTTTGGCTTAGGGCATGTTGTCCGAACCCGCCTGGGTGTCCTGGTGTGACTTGGCTCTTAAAAGCAAACCCTGAAGAAAGGGAACTAGAACATCCC